AATAGTTTCAATTTTATTCTTCCTGATGAAATATTTCGAGCTGATACTAAAATGACATAGTAATACAGTAATTACAAGCCTTATAACACGCAAAGTACTTAATGAAAATGAACTTAATTATAGTGTTTTGGAAAACTCTAGAGATAAGCTACAAGAATGTCTAAAAAAAAGGGGTGGTTCCATTTAAAAAATTCATGTTGGGTTGCAATCTACAATCTTTATTGATTGCTTGCTACATAAAGCTGCGTACACACTTAGCAAACGAACACAAAACGCGAATATTCAGACATTCGTGTTTGTAAGTAATTTATTCTTTTTCTGGATTCCACCGAATACTAGCATTCGATCAGATTTTATGTCCGTTGCACATAGCAATTAAACTTATGCAACTTTTCTTTTATGTAACAAATAACAACACAAACTTTTGCATTCGCTGTTCAATCAGTTGTTCGCTAGGTGTATACGGCTTAAATGAAATACATTGGCGTTTATTAATAAAATAAAAAGTACAGCTAGATAGAATTCGTAGAAAAACGATTAATCTATTCTCGGACTAAATTTCATCTACATTGCATTTTTCCTCTTATTTTTCTAATTTCAAGAATTTGTCTAAGAACTGCTCGTAAAAAATCGACGGAATGGTTTATCATTGATGTTTATTACATGCAATTGCGAAAAGTTAACACAGCGGATGCATCAAAACGCGATTCTCGTAGCAGTTGCGGGCAACGTTGGCCAGAGCCTCCGCCATCGCCGTGCTGGTTTTCTGTAACATGCTCTTTAGATAGCTTGTCTCTTTCTGCAGCAGCACGTGGGGATGATCGAATTCCTGCACACGATAAAAGTCCAACTTTGACGAAGAAGCTCGCAATTTACGATACATTCTCGTGTACAAAAACTACCTACATATATCTTTTATTTGATACGTGCAGCGTATAAACACTTACGTAACATAATAATGAAAATAATCGTTTCTACTGATGGATTACGTCGCAGAACAAAAAAATGGAACTGTCAGCACTTATTACAAATTATGAGCATTAAACATATCATTTTGCAATCCTCCAACAGTTAAATAACGCATTCAAACAAATTTATTTCAATAAAACACCATTCTCTAAATTTTTAAAGTAAAATTTCACTCCAAAAGAGTTAAAATACTGCCACTATTAAAAAAGAGTAAAAAAATTACACCATTGAATAAGAGTGGCAGATTTT